TGGAAGCGTCTCAGACTTCCAGCCCCCCTCCTCTCGGCGTGTAGTCTTCTCCTCTCTCGGTGTACCCCCGCCCCCTGCCCCTGCCCAAGAACCACCCCCCCCACCCCCCCAGACCCGCAGAGGAGTTAAGGCTAAACGGGGATAGCAGTCCGTCGCTTGTCTGCCTTCTGACCCCTGGAGCTAGAGACGGCAGAGCTGGAGCGGGGAGACGCCGTCTGGTTTCTAAAAGGGTATTTCCTTCGCGGGGCAGTGTTGGTCCCTCTCGGCGCCCTTATTTCTTCCGCCGCGCTGTGATTTTTGCTGCTCAGTCTGATGCGCTCCTGCTCTCCGTTCAAGCAGGATTCTCCAGCAGAACAAAAAAAAAAGAAAAAAGGCCTGCCCCTCACCCCCCCCCCCCCCCCCAAAATCTGAAACTTCTTCTCTTTCATTAAAAAAAGTGAGAGAGAACTGTTGATGAACTTGCTGTCACACCCCAGAGGCAGACGATGGAACTACACTGCAGATATGCAAATAATGCCAAGTGTCATGTTAGGCCAAAGTCAATGTAACTCAGTGTTGGATCCCAGAGCTAATTCATGGATGAATTCATAATTAAACAAGTTCTACGAAAATACATGATATTTTCACTCTAACTTTTACTTTTTTTATATATATATATATATATTTTAAACCTGTCTTTGTATATTTCAGCCCTGTTTTTGCTTATTTTATTTCAACTCTCAATCTCATATTTAATGAATTATTATCACACATTCAAGGCAGTTTAATTAGCACTTTCTGAGAGTCCCCTGGTGCCCCTGCGAGGAGTATCTGGAAGTCTGAGTCAGCCTGTGAGCTGTGACTCAACACAGAAACTGTGAGCCTACAAATCCTCGGGAAGATGTTCTGGGGTGGATTATTAAACAGATTCCATTTCGATAAGGCAAGACCAGATGGGGAATTTGTGTCCGTCTGGACAGTAAGACTCTGTGGTCAGAGACTTCAGAGCACCGGATTCTTGTGATCGCACAGAGCTTATTACTTGTAATCATTTAATATTATTGACAGACCCATCACAATTCACAGATTGTGAGTCCGGTTGTTGAGTCAAATACTGAGTATGTGTTATTAGGGTGGGCTCTTCCTTTTGGAGGGGTGGCCACAGGGGGGGGACCAAGCTCAGTGTTACAGGGGCACTGGCCCCCGTTGGCCCCTGCCTAGTACCGCACATGAGTTTTGGTATATGTGAAAGTTGCAGAAATGTACAGATTCTGTGGTATATGTTCATAACTCAGTACACAAACTGTCCTCAGAGGGAAATGTGGTCCCTGTAACACTGTTTGAAGATAAAATGCTACATGAGAAGTTATGGTGTTGGTGGGCCCGCAACAGTCAAACCGTAACTCCCTTGTTCGCTTTTTAGCTCCAAACAGTGATCCAGGGATCAATTTTTTCATTTGATAAAGTTTGTGTATTCAGTTCAGAAAATATAGCATGGAATGATTTTACTTCTCCAACTTCCAAATCTCACTACCAAATCTATAGTGCACCTTTAACAGGTAACGACTGTGGTTGGATTTCACCACCACAGCACCTCTGGGTGGGGTTTCTTAGGGCACCTTAGGGCTGTGCCTGACACAGACGGAGCAAACTGTGAGCATAAATCAATTGAAGGCAAGACCATCAGGAGGCTTTGTTTCCATCTGGAACATAAGTCTCTGAAGTAAAGGACTTCAAAGCAATATACCATTGAAAGGTACGAAAAGCAGAAAACATCACCATTCAAAATCTGAGGTTATCTATTTTATAATTGAATGTATTTTTTTTCTCTTAGTGTCATATTCCTGTATTTCCTTTGACTATTTAAAAAAAAAAAAATCTTATTTAAGCTTTTCTGTGATTAATTGTTTGTTTAATGATTTTTAAATGTTTCCTTTTCTCTTAGTCATGATGCTTTTGATGTCGTGTGTATAGCACTTTGACTCGCCTTGTTGCTATATGCTATATAAATAAACTTGCCTTATTATAAACCCCACTTTATGATAATGATACATATTGTTAAATTAAGATTATTTTTCTAGCTAATATGAGAATTGATTGCAGGCTATAAATGACAAAATCTTGTTTCCTCTCAGTTTTAAGATTAAGTTTGAAGTTTATTAAATCAGCCTATAACTGTGTAGCATAACTATTCCCTTTATCGTGTTATTGTTCATATTTATAAAGTCATCTAAAGCTGTTTAAGTTCTGTTTTAGAAACGTTATGTTTGAGTAGCCATTTTGTTGTCTTTTTTTTCTTCATTTTTGATTTTAAATCACACCAGCACAGTTGTACATCATTTACTTTTTTGTGTTTATTATGTGCTTACTTGTGCATAAACAATCTTGATGACCGTATTGGTTCCCTTCAAGGCAATCCTTCATCGTCTCCATAACTCATTCTACACCGCAGCCTACATCATCTGTTCTCTCAAGTTTACTTGTTGCCGTGTATATGCTCCAGTTGGGCCCTCCACAAAAACCAAGCTTCTCTTTTTGTTGTTATGTTAATCACATTATACTATATTCTATAGGAGATAATAGGGGATTCTCATAAGGGATTATCCCTCAAAGAAGCACCCCATAACCTAATACAATAAACTACATTTTACAAACTATTTTACTCTTTAAGCAAATGTATTCTATAAACTATTTTAGTTACTAATTTGATAAAACATCATTTTGGTCACCATATATAGTGTTTCTTAAAATTCAGCCAACTGTGAAACGCTACTTGCTCACAGCTTCTATAATAATACAATAACTTACACACAATAGAATAAACCAATCAGGGGCTTACTTTCACTCTTTATAACCTAAAGTAGGGGTTCCCAAACTTTTCAGCTTACTACTATAAGGCTATAAACTTAAGCACTAAACAAAAACAAAACTTAGACACACAGGTGTCTTCATCTATGTGTGAAGAGCAGCAGACACTGACAATGTTGCTGTCAAGTTACATTTGAGTATTTTTTACACATCAACTTCAATTTTATTTAAATTACTGGTTTAAATTTTGAACTACTTTCTATGTATTCTTATAATAATGGGTGAAATGTACAATTTAAAATGATTATAAACGTCTTTTTTTCATTTTCTTTTTTTTTTGGAAGGCATCTGCCCCCTTTTGGTGGCTCACGACATCACAGGGGGGCGCGATCCCCACTTTGGGAACCACTGAAGGACTGAAAATTTCACTAAAAGTCCATGTGCACATAGTTTTTATATACTACATATCTATGTTTTTTACAGTCTGTAATTCTGATCTTAAAACTCTTTAATAATCTTGTCATTATTTTTCTTTAATACAGCAAATATTATAATAATAATAATAGACTTTATTTGGCATGAACATCACAGATACAATGGACGAGCCAGATGCATTGTTTAAGTGTTTTAGCAAGCATGCTAGTTCTCAACACCTGTCCACAGGAGGCTTTTGAAAAGGAAACAAGTAAGATAGGGAGAAAAGCGATAAACACAGAAAACAATAATGGGAGAATAGATAAATAGAACCGTAGAGCAAAGGCAGCATGAGCAAACAATAACCCAGTCAGAAGCTATTCATGTGAGCACTGTTGTTTTGATTTTAGCCATTGTTTGAGTCCTCTGTTAAAAGCATTACTGTTGCTCTCTAATTTTATGCCAGTGGGCAGAGAGTTCCAAAGTTTTGCCCCCTTTGCAGAGAAAGCAGACTGGCCAAAGGATGTCTTGTACATTGGGACAAGACAATCACTGCTGATGGAGGCTCGTGTGACTGCCCTACGAGAGCTCTGACGCCTAATGGCTAATTCAGATAACAGTGGAGACACATGATTATTTACACATTTAAAAAACAGTTTAAGATTACTAAAATTCATAAAATTGTCAAAGGTGAAAAGGTTGTGTTTTAAAAAAATGCTGCAGTGATGCCATCTCATAGGTTTCTGGTCCATGACTTTTATTGCCTGCTTATATAAAGAAACAATAGGTTTTAATGTAGTTGAAGAAGTTTGGGACCATGATGTGATGCAATATGACAGATGTGAAAAAATCACTGCATGCATGTATAATTTGGCAGTTTGACATGAAATGTCCCTTCTAATAAAACAAAAACAATTTAGATTTGGTTTGACCTTCTTCACAATGTACTTAACCTGACTGTCAAATTTTAAATTCTCATCCATGATGATGCCTAGATGCTTAACTTCTTTTACTACTTCAGTTGCTTCATTCTTAATCTGTACCTCAAATACTTTGTTTCCAGATCTATTACGTATGGAGAAGCACATGGCAACAGTTTTCTTAACATTAATAGTTAAATGAGACAACTTGAGCCATTTGGAAACATTATTTAATGCCTCTGTTAGGTGGTCACCTGCTAAGCTAGCTGTTTTAGTGGACACATGGATAACGGTATCACCTGCATACATCTGGCAGTTGGTGCCTGGACAGCAGTTTGGTAGGTCATTGATGTACATTGAGAACAACAGTGGACCAAGTACAGACCCTTGTGGTACTCCCATACTGTTGGCATGCAGATGAGACTTCACCCCATTGACCCTAACACATTGCTGTCTCCCCCCCAGGTAAGATTTAAACCACTGCAGAGCTTCTGATGACATTTGGAATTGCTTTAATTTATTCAGTAAAATAGTGTGATTGACAGTGTCAAAGGCCTTTTTCAGGTCCAAGAACACTGCCCCGACAACATTTCCTTTATCCAGTGGAGCTTTAATATTTTCAAGCAAATAGCAGTTTGCTGTTTCAGTGGAATATTTTTGTCTAAACCCAAACTGCTGTGGATGAAGCAATTGGTTAGACTCTAAATGTTCCATCAAGTCTCAAGTTCTCGGGTTATTTCAAATAACTCGAGACTATCAAACCTCTCCATTAAAAGTCATGGATGGATAGACGGCAAATACAACGCGTTCGGTCCATCCACATGCCTTTTAAATCTGCCAACCCGTGACAGGAAGTTGTCACCGAGTGGCGACGTCACTTTACTCCAATGCGGAAGTGATCGTCATCGTAAAAGCTGTGAGTTGGAAGGTCTGTGAGATGTGATAAATGTACAGTAATTTTTATCCAGTACAGCGTGAGGTTTGATAGTGTGAATGAATGGAGACAAACACATGAGCAGTTCGTGTTTTCTGGACCTTGTGTGAATAGTTTAGTGTTTTTTTTTAAAGCCTCGCAGCAGTTTGCGTTGAATCACTTTCTGCTTCAAGATTTTGCAAATTTCATAAATGACAAGTCGAATATATATTTTTCTTCCGTAAAAAAAAAACCTCTATCTTAATGTATTTTCACTCGGTTACTAGGTGCATTTTTCGGTCAGCAGGTACAAACCTTTAAAATCAGTTTGAATTACTTTTTTTTTTTTTTTTTTAGACCTTTTATAGCCTGAACATGTCGTGGATCAGAGAGGGCGAGTTAAACCTCCTGGAGAAGATTTCAGCGAATATCTTGAAGGTGAGTTTGTCTGTCTTGTGTTTGTGTGTCTCATGCATTTGATTCAAAAAAAAAAAAATCCTCGTTTTCTTATTCTGAGAAAGCCAGAAGTTGCTCGATAATGTCTCCTCTTGTGTGGTACAAAGAGAGCAGGTAAAAGACCCCACTCAGTTTTTTTTATTTTACAATAGGTTCCTTGTATGTGATACGCTGATGAAGGCTGTGAGGTGTAGTTTGAAGCCTTAAAGTGTGGGTTGGGTCTAGAAATTGATCCCAAAAGAATTTAAGGTCAATCAAAAAAAAAAAAAAAAAAAAAGTATGAATAGTGTTCTTTCATTGAGGATGTGAAGCTCTTCACAATGAAGAGGCTCAAACCGGAGACACGCTTGCTTGAAAATTGAAAATGATCACAGTTGTTGCCGAGTAACAGTATCAGCTCTGTTCGGCTGTGTTATTATCAAATTTGATTGATTCTTCTGTCGGTGGAACGTGAATCTCTCCTTACTTCCCCCGGTCTCGTTGTGTCTCCCAGGCTGGACCCATGCCTAAACACGTGGCCTTCATCATGGATGGAAACCGCCGCTTCGCCCGCAAGAAACAAATGGGGCGTCAGGAAGGGCACATGCAGGGCTTCAACAAGCTGGCAGAGGTGAGGTCAAATTCAAATCTGTTGTGCTGCCTTGAAACGCTTTTGTCACGTATGTATGAGTAACTGTTCCCTTCCTGCTCCCTTTCCACTTCAGACATTGCGTTGGTGTAAGCACCTGAACATCCAAGAGGTCACGGTGTACGCCTTCAGCATCGAGAACTTCAAGCGCACTAAAGACGAGGTGGACGGGCTGATGGAGCTGGCCAAGCAGAAGTTTGAGAAACTACTGGAGGAAAGGTGAGTTTTTAAGCAACAGATTGGAAAGAGTTAAAAGAGCTTTGGTTTGCTGAGCTTTCGAGACAAGTCAAATAAAAATTAAAGACACAAAGAAGGTGAACCAAATGCAGTGTAGAGAGAGAGAGAGAGAGAGAGGAGAAATAGATGAGAGGAGAGAGAGAGGGGAGAGAGAGGGGAGAGAGAGGAAAGAGAGAGGAGAAATAGAGGAGAGGGGAGAGAGAGCAGAGAGAGGAGAAATAGAGGAGAGGGGAGAGAGAGAGGATAAATGGAGGAGAGGGGAGAGAGAGCAGAGAGAGGAGAAATAGAGGAGAGGGGAGAGAGAGAGGAGAAATGGAGGAGAGGGGAGAGAGAGGAGAAATAGAGGAGAGGGGAGAGAGAGGGAGAGAGAGGAGAAATAGAGGAGAGGGGAGAGAGAGCAGAGAGAGGAGAAATAGATGAGAGGGGAGAGAGAGAGGAGAAATAGATGAGAGGAGAGAGAGAGGAGAAATAGAGGAGAGGGGAGAGAGAGCAGAGAGAGGAGAAATAGATGAGAGGAGAGAGAGAGGGGAGAGAGAGGGGAGAGAGAGGAAAGAGAGAGGAGAAATAGAGGAGAGGGGAGAGAGAGGGGAGAGAGAGGAAAGAGAGAGGAGAAATAGAGGAGAGGGGAGAGAGAGCAGAGAGAGGAGAAATAGAGGAGAGGGGAGAGAGAGAGGAGAAATGGAGGAGAGGGGAGAGAGAGGAGAAATAGAGGAGAGGGGAGAGAGAGGAGAAATAGAGGAGAGGGGAGAGAGAGCAGAGAGAGGAGAAATAGATGAGAGGGGAGAGAGAGAGGAGAAATAGATGAGAGGGGAGAGAGAGGAGAGAGAGAGGAGAAATAGAGGAGAGGGGAGAGAGAGGAGAAATAGAGGAGAGGGGAGAGAGAGAGTCCTTCAAGTCTTTCTCAAAGAAATTGTGGTTTCAGTAGCTTAGTTCAAACTTTCCAATGTTTTTCTTCTCGCTGGCAGTTTTAAAGATATTGTTTTGTTAAATATGTCAGCCTGTTTATGTGCCTCCCACTTTTGATGTGCCTCCCCACATTTCTGTGGTTTTAGTCGGTGACACATTCAAAAACAAAATCATAATGACCTCAAGGATTTAGAAAATCTCATGATTCTTCTTGGTACAAACAGAATTTAATCACGTTTTATGTATCTAGACATTTTGCAGCCCTCGTTAGTACATCAGAGGGCTGCTGCCAGAAAGGGAATAGTTTTTGTTAAGTGGTAGGAGTTGCTGAACATCATTTACACCCGCCTTCGCGAGGCTAAAGGGAAACAGTACTGACTGACTGATCAGGGGGAATTCTTGTGTTGAGGCCCCTTTGTGTATTTCTGGGTTTGAAATGCAGACGGACACGTTTCAGCAGCTTCACATAAATCGCAGTAGTCTTCTTCTCGTTCTTCGTGTTTTTTCTTGACCCTCGTATTCATTCATTCACTTCTTTTTTGTCTCTTTCCGCCTTTAGAGATAACCTGGAGAAGCATGGTGTGTGTATCCGGGTGCTGGGCGACTTGAATATGCTGCCTGTTGACCTTCAGCGGATTATTGCAAAAGCTGTGGTCACAACCCAGTCGCACAATAAGTATGTGTATCTGTTCACTTGAATCTCAGCTTCTATGATCTTATCGATAGTGATTCAACCTTTTTTTTCTTTTTCTTTTTTTTTTTCCTATACATGGGCAGAGAGATGTTATGCGTAATAACCACATGTGTACAAACGCTTGTTTTTCAGATGCTTCCTAAATGTGTGTTTCGCCTACACGTCCAGATATGAAATCACTAATGCAGTCAGAGAAATGGCTTGGGGAGTGGAGGAGGGCCTGATCAAAGCGAGGTGACTTCACCTTCTTCATGTCCTCACAGTATCAATAATCTGACGCAGAAACACAGACATATAGACTCTGCAGACGATTGCTTTACCCGGCTGTTTTGTGTCTTTCTGTTCTGCTCAGTGACGTCTCGGAGGCTTTGCTAAGTGAGTGTTTGTACAGCAACAATTCTCCCAACCCCGACCTGCTCATCCGCACGTCTGGAGAGGTGCGCCTCAGCGACTTCCTTCTCTGGCAGGTGAGGATGAGGATGAGTGCGCGAAAAAAAAAAACACACAGTTGTTGTCTTTTAATGTGTCACTCTTTAAGATCTCACCTGAACTTTTAAACCTCTAAAGTTACATCTCAGGTAATGAAATAAAAAGTTTAGTTGTGTGTAAATAGAACCCTGCCAGTTAGGCCGCGTGCCTACCTCATGTTTTTTCTGAGCGCCAGTGTCTTTTTTTTGATTGTTCCCAATCAGGAGAGAGCGTTTACAGCAGCAGCCTGACACCCAGTAAAAAAAAAAAGAAAAAAAAAAGCAATGTGACTTCTTCATGCAGACGCTCTGAGCGCTCAAGCTGAAAATCTTTCAACTTTTCAGAAAGGTGCTGTTGACAACACAGGCGCTCTTTACAGAATGTATAATATTCTCTGTATTTTTGCCGCCTACGGATCGTGTCTTGCTCCGTGTCTGCTTGGGTAAAAACCATCTCAAATAAGAAACATAGCCTACAGTTTAAAGTAATGGAGCAGTGTCCTTTTATACAGCAGCCGTTGTCAACAGACTGTCGCCATAGAGACAGGGTGGACGTTCAGCGCTTTACTTCTCAGTGCAAAAACGCTTCACGCGAGCGTTCCCTAGCGCGCAGCCAGCACTTTTCTGACTGGGAAAAAAAACGCTAAGGGACATGGGATCTTAGACTTGTTTTTTGTTATTTTAGTTAAATTGTATTATTTACCTTGGGATATCCGTCCCAACTTGTTTTGAGGTTAGCGGTATAATGTCAGCTTAGCTTTGGACACAAACGCAACCTCATTCTCTTTTTGTTTTCAGATTAGACTTAATGGCTTTCTTTAGATTTTAAAAGTGAGAGCAGAGTCACAGTTAGTTGGTCAGTCCTTTTAATGTAATGCTGCAACAATACATTATAAGAAGTATTGCATTTAGTAACACACCCTGCACGTGTTCTTTAGAAAGGGTTATTTAATAAACCCATGGGCCATTTTTGAGAGACTCTTAAGACTTTATTTTCACCTCCAGTTTTGTCATAATATCTTTAAAGCCTGTATCATCAAGTCTTACAAATATTATCTACCAACTAAGAGATGCTGTTTCTGATGTTTTAAAAAATATTCTGATTTAATATTAACAATTAACTACAGACAACTTTACAGCTTCTCCTCTGAGACTTATATATTGATCTTTCATCCCGCAGACTTCCCACTCCTGTCTGGTGTTCCAGTCCGTTCTTTGGCCCGAGTACTCTTTCTGGAACCTGTGTGAAGCGATCCTCCAATTTCAGTTAAATCACAAATCCATTCAGGTGAGGCTCACACTGAGACGCGGCTTGTTCGCTGTCAACATTATAAAGACTATAGGATTAGATGTGAGTGTGGCCTTGTTGTAAAAACAGCTTTACAAAGGCTCAAAGGTATTGATTCATTCCCACTCCTCTCATGTTTTAGACTGTGACTTTATGAACCAAATATCCTGATTGGTTGATATCAGTCAGTGCAGATGATTTCTATATGTGTTTATTTGACATGGACATACAGTAACATTGGTGCTGTAACATTTAAACATGCACACGTCCCAGATGCACTGCTCTTACTGTTTACAGCAAAATGCTAATTTGCAACACCTGTCCACGGGAGGCTTTTAGAAATAGCAGGTAGAAATAAAGAAAAAGGGAAAAAAAGAAGAAAATCCCAACAGTTCAGTTATAAATACAGTGCAGATGGTCTGTGAGTGAATTTTGCTCCCTATCACCAATGCAGGTTTCTGCTTATTGCCCTATGATGGCACATAAACAGTTTGCACCTGCAAGTCAACGAAAATTTGCATAGCATACCAGAGGCAACCAGAACTAAAGCAAACAGTCACCTAGTCTGTCTGCATCATTTTAATCAAAACAAAAGGTACTAAAAAGTCTGGTAACACTGCATATGAACCATCACTCATAATGCATCATCAGCACATTTATAAAGCCTTATAAGTTCATTTATTCGGCTTTATAATGGCCCTTATAAGTGATTATGATGCATTATGATGAGTGGTGGGCTCATATCAGGTGTTTCCAGAAGGCTTAATAAAAGCCAATCCAATGTGACACAACTGATTGTTGCGTTGATGTGCGTTGCTTTTCAGAAAGCCAGAGACCTCCATCGAGAGCATCAGGCCTCACAGCAGCTGGAGGCGGACCGTGCCTGTGTAGCAGAGCTCCTGCAGCATCACGGGAACGGAAAGCCTGCAGACGCCCAGAGAAGACAAGAGGCGCTGCTGCATCACACCGCCTGCAGGGAGGAACGAATTCACGACTTCTTAGAAGCACTGAAGCACAAGAGAGACTCTTTCTTTAACGACTTAACCAGTGAAGCCGCCGTGGCTTAGGATGTCCCTGAAAACCAAACCCCATGTTGAAGTGGGGATGAAACCTCTCCCGTGCTCTTCCATAAAGGGCTTCTGCGGGGGGAAAAGGAAGAGTGAACAGTCCCTGGGAATGGTTTCTATGTGTTACTGATTTGAGCAAGATAAGAGGGCAATTTGACCCCTATGGGGCTGTAGAAAAAATGAGATATTTATGATTGTAGATTAAAAAAAAAAAAGTCTAATCAATGGAAATGCCTGGTCAAAATGTAGTTCAATAGTTGTGTAAAATGTTCATGAAATGCATGCCATTGATTGGAAGTTAAAATGTTGAGTGAAAGCCAGGGATTCAGTGTTTCAGAGACGATTCCATCCAGACATATACGAATCAGTCCAGTGTTTCATTTTTGGTTGAGTTCCGATGGAAGTGTTGTTTGTTTGGTGCGTGTGATGATTAAGACGTAACTAGATTTTGACCAGCGTTCTTCAACAGAATAAAGTGTGTACTGTGTGTCAGGTATGATACTTAAAGTGTGATTCATTCCTTTGAACTGACATGTTAGTGTTTAAGCTGTCGGATTAATCCCTTCAGTCCTTGCCTCAGCTGGTTTTTAATACAAATCTGTATCTAACGATGCAACTTTGTTTGCAGATAAATACCACACAATGACATCCCAGTCGATGATCTGACTTCAGAAAAGAAAATATTGCTTCAATACTGTTGGCTGATTTATGATCACTTGGGAAAACCTTAAGTCTTAAGAAAAAGGAAAATCGAAATGTAAGAAGCTCAACCCATAAAAAAACCCCCCAAAAGAACGGTCCAATCTAGTCGTCATCCTGTTTTCCCTATATATGTATTTATAATGACGCGAGGGATTTTAGTAAAGTTAAAGTATTAGCATTGCAGTGAGGGGGTTATACAAGTAATTCATAGTTAAATGATCATTCAATTCTAACTCTGACAAAGTCAGCAACATTTAAATGTTGTCGAAGAGGAGCTAATTTTCCTGCAAGCTGGTTTGTTCCATCACAGCATCACATTAAAGACTTTGATTGCATAAATCTATGGTTTGAATTTAGACTTTTGGGACCTACCAAAGCCTCAAACTAACTGGACTCAAAAGGCCATTATCTACTTCTGTAAGGAAGTGGAAATGATGTATAACCATATACACCAAATAATATTGGGTTATATTCAGAAGCGTCATTCCCATTCAAACTGGGGGGGGGAAATCTGACAGGATTTTTCTCAAATCTTATTATTTAAAAACTGAATTTGTATAATATGTAATTATGATAAATAGTATTTCAAGTCGGACGTATTCTACTATTAAGACCATATACCATACCTCACAAATGTGTCTCCCCCCTCCCCCTGTAGTTGGTTTGATCCAAAAGTCACATCCTGAGATCGGTCCACGATTCACAGTGGTTACTCACAGACCCAGACAGATATATAATATAATATATATTTATTTTTGAGAAGTAACTAACTAACTGTATCTAAGTGGAAAAGAGGTATAACGTAAAATTAAAGTGAATTACCTTCCAAGTTTTATTTCTTAAAACACGTGATTTCCTCACGAAAAGGAGTTGTATTGCTGATCCTCACGGTGTAATAAAAAGAAAAGGACTCGACCAAACCCAGGTCTTTTGTAGACCTTCAGTAGTAGGCTAGGCGAGATTTCCGTATGTGTGAAAAGGGGTTTAAGTGTCTTTTTGTTGTTGTTGACACATATAGTTAGAACATTACAACCAATATTTCTACAAAATCGACGTAGAGGTGAAACATACAACAGCAAAAAAAAAAAAAAAAAAGACAAGGAGCAGGTTAAGTTTAACAAAGTAAGACTAGGGGGGGGGGGGGGGTGTATATTTAAAAAACTATTTAAAAATTAAAATGTTCTAAAATTATACATCAGGCCAAAACCTGCAGCAGGGACAAAAAAAAAACATAGGCGTACAATAAACGAGCCTGGCTAGAAATAAAAGAAAATGCACATGTCAGCACCATAGACTGTGTTATTAAGGTCAGCACTAATCTTTCTTGCAATTCGACAGTATGTGTCTGCAGAGGTGCTTTATTTCTCTCCATCAGACCTGCAGACTATGAATCAGACACCCATCCAGCGCCTCCCTGAGGACCTCACCGGTATTAGTCTCTTAAGTACCACCCTGCCTCTTTAAGGAATGGGAGGCGCTTGAAACCACGTGACACGCTCGCCTCCAATGACAGTGACCGAAACACAGAACTGGTTCAGACCGGTTCAGTTCTTATATTTCAGTGTATAAACTACAAAAACATTCGTTTGCATTATACATTCGCCATTTTACTCTGCAGCCGCCTGGTTTTCGTCCCGTTAGCTCTCTCTGAAAAAAAATCCCGCCTTTACGGTTATAATTTTTTTGTGAGCTTTTACTTCACTTCCTGTCAACAACATGGGAAAAACAAGGGTAAGATTTGTATTACATTCGTGTTTTTTTTTTAGTGTTTTTTTTTTTAACTCTGAGCACTCTTGTTCGTGTTGATAACTTGAGGCTGCGTTTGATATTTCTGCATCAGAGGAACGTCATCGTCCCCAACAAACAGGGCTGCCATGGCGGTCGGACATTAAAGACCTGTGCATGCATCTTCTCATCCGTCGAAGATGTTATTAGTACTTTGCGATACCGTTATATCCGCTATACACGAACAACAACGTGTAGCCTTGTAATTTCATGGCCTGCTGCAAAAGCCAGACTTGTGCAGCCTTTGACATTGCGCCGTGCAAAACATCTTGCAGCGCCTGTATTTTCCCTCCCTGACAGCGGGGCTGGGGCTGAAAGGAGGGGGAGGGGGGGTGCGTCTTGACAGATTTGACGCGGCAGCAAACTTAAACACGCTTTAAATGTGCATTTATCGGTGAAATCTTAATGCATAGCTTAGTATTGCTATGTAATACGGTCGAATTGGATGTTAGGCAATCAAAATGAGTTCAAACACACATTTCTAATTTGAGGAAGAAGCTGGGGGGAAGGGGTGTTTTGTATTTATTTACTTACTGGTTTGAATTTTTTTTTTTTTTCTAAGCCAGTTTATTGACGGTGACTCAGAACAGGTTACACTTTCGTCACCCTGTTTAATGTGATCGACGATAGCCTTGCGTTATCCAACTGTGTCGACTTTATTTTTCTACTATTTCGGATCAGTAAATGATAAATGCAGCGATGCGAAATGTAAATAATGGTTTTTTTTTTTCTATTTTTAATATAATTTTTGACGACGATTTAAGTTAAAAATGCGTGTTGCTTTAACGCATCCGTGTAAAATATGTGGTAAAAGCTATAAAAAAAATAAAAATAAAATTGACATAATTCATTTTTTAAATAATTAAAATAAAACGAGTTCTTTATAAAAATCAAGTCTAATGCAGTAATACTTGATGTAAATCAGAACTGGCTTGTGCTTAGCTGCATTTGTAATATGGCGGCAGCGACAGATTAGTAAACTAGTAATCTTATCAGTTTCCCAACAGCTGTCTGTCGGCGCGCGCTGCTACAAAACAAAGGAAGCTGTCAAGGCGCCAAAGCGCTGTCATGGTGACGGGACAGACCGAATTTTGAATTCAAATATGGGCGGGAAATTCTTTGTGTTGTTCGAATTATATGCATGAGTGATGACGGTTTTTTTAATTAATCTTCCGGTTTAGTGTGTACAACTTAATCTCATCAGATTTTTTTCAAATTATTATTCATGGTTTTATCGTGATGGTGTTTTGTATGAGTTTAGATGTTTATTACTGGTGTATAAATTGTGTTTTTTACCAGATTTTCTCTCTTTTTTGTTTTTCAGAAAGTCTCCACCACTGAGGTTTGTTGGGGGGAAACAATTTTATGCTGTTTTGCTAATAGAGTATTGTGGTACAAAGTAATTTATTTAAAGTTGAGAGGTTGTGTAGTTATTTTGCTCTTATTCTGTAACTAAGATTTCAGAATTAAAGTACTATGACCCAACAGGGCCCTGAATATCATACTTTTCATGTGTTTAAAGTTGACAAAGGAGTTCTGTCCTTAATTATTACTGAATATATGTCTTTCTACTTTCTTAATAGCGAAGGACATCCGTCCGGCTGTCGCAGGTAAGCTTCTTACAAACACAACGCTGTTATTTTGTTTTCTTTACTCTTGGTAGTCATTCAAAGACAGTTTTTTGCCAACAAAAGTGTCCTCTTAGGATTAAAAGTAACCTATACATTAAATTTTCTGTAAAATAGCAGTATGCATATATTATTTATTCTATAAGAAAATATATTTTACATCTGTTTCATGAAGATGATAAAAAAACAACAACTCTGAGACTGATTTCATAGATATTCACAAAACTATTATTTTGTTGTGATTTCCTGTTTGTAAATCTACTTTGCCACACTATTTCAATGTAAATTTCTCTCTTGTTTTGCAGAAATCCGCACCCATACAACCGGAGAAGAAAAAGGTCGCTGCAAAGGTATGAGACACGCTGATAACACTCCCCGTCGCTGTGCTCTGTTTCACATGTGAACGTGGTTTATGACCTTGAGCTCTTTGAAGAGAAATAAAGTTCCCCACAGCTCCCGGCCAAATGGGACATAAACCCATGAAGAAGCAATTTAGATGTTTTGGTTCACATGATTTTGTTCATTATACTATTGCATATGTTTTTTAAAGTCCAAGTGGTTTTCTGTAATTTGTTTGTGATCATCTTTAATGTTATTTGCAGAAGGTAACCGGCAAAGCAAAGAAGGTCAAAGCCACCGAAAATGGGAGCCCCAAGGCCGAGGTTTGTTTCTTTCTATGTGCCAAAAAAACGACGAATACGTGTTATTTTCTTATTTGTAAATTATTATAATAACCATCGTATTTGTAATATTAAAAAAGGAGGGGGGGGGGTATACAGTAGGCTTAATACAACAACAGAGCCTGGAAATGTTTTTTATTTGTTTGTTAATAATTAATTTTTTTATTTAACCAGGTAATTAACCCATTGAGATCAAGATCTCTTTCAAAAGGGTGACCTGGCCAAGAGGACAGCAGCACACATTATAACAATCTTTACATGATTAAGAAACAGTTTACAAACAATAGGTGAGGAGAAAACAAGAAATTGTATTAGAGAGCACACAATACTTCTTCTGAGTGCTCCAATTGCTCATTTAAGAGACCCCTGAGGGGGAGGGGGGGTCGACAAAATGAGAAGTAATGTATGAACGTATCAACCTTTGGTCTTGGGAGTAAAACCTTCATTATGAGCCAATTACACACACTGATAATCAGATGAAACACAGTCAGAGCAGTGAAGGTTTTTCTGTAACTATTGAATATTCAACTACTTAAACCAAGTAAGGTTACTTCAATATAAGATGTACTTTATTGTCCCCAAAGGGACATTTATCTTGGACTCTGTCCTGCAGTTACAAAATAATTTAAAAAGTACTTAAATGGAGATGATACAAAACATGCGAGAGTTCCACATATACATTTAAAAAAAAAAAAACACTTTCCCACAGTCATGACATCGCACGGCCCTTTAACACATCATCCTACTTCACCTCTTACTCAGAATATTAAGGGACATCGGCACAAATTAATGTTTATAGTGGTTAAGCCTCGTGTGAGGGACCCTGAATCTGAAGGGTAACCGCTGAAACTCGGAGTGCAGTATCTTAAACTTCTGAAAATAAAGTCTTTGACATCTGAAATGGTGATTTATTTTTTTTTTTTTGGGTGCTGTCTAAATGATTTTTACCGACAGCCAGTCAGTCAGTTGTTTTCATACTTGTGTTGTAATGACCTAGTGATACCTGCAGGTCAAATGCACACTGCATGAAAACGAGCACAGTAGAGAGTGTAGTGCTTTGCTCCCACGTCAGTCAGTGCTCGTAACATTTTGCTTTCTTCTTCACTGTCCCCAGGAGGCAAAGGCCGAAGCAACCGAAACCAAATGAATAAGGGTTGAAGCGCTCCCTCCGTGTACTTGGTGATTGTACAGTTTTAAATAAGTATTTTTTACCAAGTTTTATATTACACATGTCTATTATAGGTTTGTTTTGGGCTTGCACTTAATGTAACAAAACTTTGTCACAGTCATATCCATTAAGAATAATTACCGTCCATATCTCGTAGACGTGTGGCATTTCTAGTTTGTCTAATTTCCGTTTTTTTTTTTTTGTTTACTGCTGAGTAATAGATATTTTTCAACAAGTCTGGTTTTGAATCTAATTTTAAACATTATAAGGCAGCTAAAGCATATTGTTAAAATGTAGGGAGAGTAGGAGTGTCTCTTGTTCTCTTCTTGTATTTTAATGTTAAACTAATGAAGGAAAAAAAAAAAAAAGAGATTGCTTACCAAATGTTTTGAAACACTGTATGTTGACATGAGTTATAGTAATTAAACAAAATGCCACAGAAAAAAAAAATACTGTAATTAGGTCAAAAGTTTGACATATCCCAAAAACATGTATGTTGTGAACGCGGTCATATAATGATGAAAAGTTATCTTAAGTTATGTTTCTGTTTAGCGGAAAGGAAGCTTTTCTGATTCAATGTTTGATCTAAATGTTCTTAAATAAAAAGAAAATGTCAAAATGTCTGCCTGGCATCCGTTTGTTTTTGACCCTCTTAAAGCTCGATGAGAAAACTGGAAGCAGCAATGTTTAAAGTAGAGCGACACATGATATGTAGACCAAGACCGATCCTGAGACCACTTAAAGGTCTTGTTTCAGAACCGCAAGCATGTAACCCGGACTGGGCGGACTCCAGATTTTTAATCAAGACCGTCTAAAACCACCACTGAGAGGCCATTGTTCTATGTCATCACTGTGATTAGGAAAACACCCCTTTCTAAAACAACAAATAACTTCAATTCATTTGTAGTTTAGTTTGCACCCCAACTGGTTACAACTGCAAACTTGTGTGTGTTGCGGTCTAAATTAGTGACACCCCCTAAACACAAGATGATGATATTTATGGTCCTGGTCTTGTCTCGGTCTTGGGTAGGTCTCGGTTGATCAGTGTGGTCTTGACTACACACTAATGGATAAATGATCAGTCGACTGAGCCAGATGCCCCCTGTGTTAATAACAGTCTTAAATCTTTATCAGCATCCTGCCATCTTAAAGGACATCATTTCAAGATAATCCTTTCAGGTGTCTCTGTTCTTCATAACCCCTGTGTGCAGAGGTCAGGGGCTCTTTGTAGTTTCACCTCCTCATGCTGATGTTCTTCAGTATGTTTGTTACGTTACGGGGGTTTGTTTTGTATCTAAATACTTACGAGTGCACTTGGGATAAAGGCTGACTGACTTGAAAAAATGACTAGAAACCGAGAACCTGAAAAGAAAACTTGAGGCGCACCATAATCAAATCAGGTGAACACTGGCTGTTTATTGAGAGCCTTAGAATAGCAGAGAAAGTGTCATGAATGCACGCATCAATAAAATAAATATTTATTTATAGTTAAAAGTTGCAGGGAAAATGCATATTCATTAAAAAAAAAAAACATTTAAGATATTTGTTGGGGCTGTTTGTCTTTATTTGATAGGACAGTGGATAGAGTAGGGAGAGAGAGAGAGAGAGAGAGAGTGGGGAATGACATGCGGGACAGGTCGGACTTGAACCCAGACCGCCCGCTTTGAAGACTTCAGCCTCCGTGCATTGGGTGCAACCTAACCGCTAGGCCTTCTGCGCCCCTATTCATAACATCTCTGTAATGCACCAGTTTAGCCGCCATGGCTAATTTCCAAATGGGTCCCTCCCTGTGCAGGGGAATGACAGAGCAGCAATACTGTACACTTAGCAGGGCACGAAAAAACAAGGAGAGCATTAATACAACTCAAAGAAACACCTTTTGTACAAAGTGAATCTGTCAGAGCCGCAGACCGCCTTAACATTGATTGCTGAGCAGGATCTTAAAAATATTTTAACTTACATGTAATTGTGTTTTTGAAAGTTTCTGAATCGTCAATACATGTAGTCATTTATTTTTGAATTACATTTAAAAGAACGGTAATGTGGCCCCAGACTTTAGGACCCCGATGTTACCTGTATGAATCCCCTCACCATGACAGACCGGGGGGAACACAAATCAACTAAAGACACTATTTGTGACAATAACATTTAAACATGTATTTTCATCACTGCATATTGAAATGGATGTGTTCTTTTTCCTCGCCAATCATCGATTTAAAACAAATAGTACACCACACCCATCAGAATCGACCACTCTTTATGAGTCACACGGATATTCAGGGAGGTTTTTTTGTATAGTCCACCGCTGAAAACTATCTGTCTCTCCTCCTCCTTGAAGAAGAAGAAGAAGAAGAAGACCCTTAAAAGTTCAAAGAAAAGCCCTTACTAGTTTAAGGCTCAGTCCCTTTTAGTAGTCTGGTGTTGCTGCACGTTTTGACAAATAAAGGCCGGTCTCAATCAGAGGGCCCCCTGCATGAAGTGTCTAAAGAGTTTGTGGATCAGAAATAAGAAGAAGCAGCACGACACAAAAAAAAAAAAAGATTCCAGCACCTTGTTGAATCTATGCCACGAAGAATTAAGGCAGTTCTGAAAGGCAAAAGGGGGTCAATCCCGGTACTGGTGAAACTAAAAAAAGGGTCCAATGAGTGTATTACTAGTTATAAAATATATGGGGTCCTTGGCATGACAAAGTTTGACAAAGCTTTTCTTAAGAACACACCGTTTGAACTATACTCTTAAAGCGAGATAATTATAGAGGTTAAAGAGTTTAAATTTAATCATGCATTATTTTTCTTGTCTACAGTTTGTTTAGGGGCTGTTTGTTATTTTATGATTTTTTTTTTTTTTTAATTGGTTGGTTGCTGATGTTTGTATAATGATGCCCTCTGAAATAATGGAGAAGATTTTTAAAAGTTAGACAAAGCTGAAATATTCATGTGTTCATTGAGTACCTTTGGAGCGACCCTCAGTGTCTGTACACGGTGTCACCAGTAGAGGGCGGTGTCGTGTCAATGCACTAGAAGTGGGGCAGTTGTTTTGTTTCCAGCAGGGGTCTCCCTCTCTTCAAGCTTTGACACAATGTGAAAGTCGGTCAAATATGACGCGTTTTGTTTTGAAACTTTCATCACTGAGGATGAGGCTGAGTGGAGATGTTCGAATATTACCTAAATGTATCTGTCTGGGTTTTTTATTAATAAAAAGCAACACATAAAGACATGTTAGGACAGTGCAGGACTGAGTCATGAAGTTAATCTGACAAATAGATTTTTAGCATTTCCTAATCATCAAGCTGCAAGTAATAAAGACATGACATGATTGTTTGAAACACATCAGAGCTGTAAATCGTTTTCCTGTTCAATAGTTTCATAATCCAATCATATATATAATCATCACCTTGTTTTAAAATAGCATCTGTTCCACATTTTGTAAATGAAGTTGTAAATAAATATTGTAATCACATAAAGATTTTTCTTTGGAAACAGTAGAAGTTGGAGAAAACATCTCACCTCACCAGAAGGTACATTTAGGATTTTTTTCTGGATCCTTCAGTCAGAATCATCCATCCATTATCTTTTAATGCTTTTCCCGTTCAGGGTCACAGGGGGGCTGGAGCCGATCCCAGCTCTCATTGGGGAGAGGTGGGGTTACACCCTGGACTGTTCACCAGTCAATCACAGGGATAGAGACATGTAGAGACACACAACCAGCCACACTCACATTCACATCGACGGGGAATTAAGAATAAGGAGCATGTCTTTGGACCCACGCATGCACAGAGGAGAACATGCAAACTCCACACAGAGAGGCTCCTGTCAGACAGGGATTCGAACCACGAACCTCCTTGCAGTGAGGCCACTAACCACTGTGCAGCCCCAGTCAGAATCAGAAATACTTTATTCCTCACCAGGGGGGAAATTTGGTTGTTACAGTTGCTCTTAAACACAAAATAGCAGTAGAAATATAGAAATATGAATACAATAAGGATAATGTATTTTTTTTAGGTATAAAGCAAAAAGAACAATATAAAGAATAAGATATGTGAACATCGCAGGTTATTGAAGAAATTTAGTTGTGTACTGTTCCAGAGAGCAGAGAGTTAAAAACGATAAGCAGTATAAACAAAGAGCAGAATTAACAGTCTGTTTCAGTGTTACAGGATGTGTTAATGGACAGATTCCTGACCAGTTAAGATTCAAAACATTTCCCAGTTTTAATAATGAATGAACAAATGAGGAGTTTACAGTTTTCAGTGTGAAACAGTCCACAGACAGTCAGAGGTCAGAGGTCAGAGGTCAGAGTCAGAGTCAGAGTCAGAGTCAGAGTCAGAGTCGTAAAGTTTGACGGTCACCTTCTGTGGTCATCAAACTTTGCGACTCCTCCCTCTGACTGTCAAACTACATGATCTTTCTCATTAAGGTTGTCAACATATAATCAATACTTCAATATTTTTCGTACCCCATGTGTTTATAAATGACACATCTCTTTCTGTTAAGTTTCCCATCCGGAGTGTTATTGTGACCACATAAAGCAGAACAGCACAGCAACAGGATCTAAAGGTTTCAGAAAACAGACAATTATGACCTGTTTAAGATCTATCAAGAGGAAAAACAGTGAGTCTCTTATTATGGTAATCAGAACGAATCGCACATGTGAACGCCATGGAAAAATGACCTGTCAAGCGGCGTTTTCACACATGCATTAAACTCCTGAAATGTTCAGGGTTAGCTGCATGTGTGAACGCACACCCCAACTTTTTCCTGCCAGCCCCCTCCGAGAAATGTCCTAATAAAGTCAGGGTTCGTCGGGTTTGGTGGGTTCAGATGCTAGGGCAGAAACGAAGTCAGACGCATACCACAGAGTGAACAGATACTGTGAAGCAGTTGCCTGACCCTCCTGGTGTCACCTCTCCCCCATGTCATGGGACATACATGCAGGCGAGATGGGTGCTATAAGACATACAGGTCAGTTGATGTGTTTAAAAATGGCTACACAAATACCAAATAATTCCCAGAAAAACAGTCTCACTATCCAATGCACGTCGTACGATGCTTTTGATTGTATCGCAAATTTTTTCTCATATTTCCTCATCCAAGGAGACCCTAAAGGTAAACAAACATGACACACTTTGAGGTGATTTACAGTAGAAAAAAGGTTGATATAGTTGATGATTTAAGGCACTTTTATGATTCAAATGTGTCTCTCGCTCACCCATTTTTTTCACTCTCAAACAAAAGTCAGAGAGCTGTTTGCCATGCAACGGGCAGAGAGGCATTATGTCCTGTTGTGGCTGCGGGTCATGAGGTAAAGCGCGGCGTCATCTCATTAGAAATCAGTCCTTCAATCCTCAGTCTGCTTGTTGAAATGTTCTTGGAGGAGTTCTGTGTGAATTTGGTCAGATCGAATCCTGAAGATTTGCAACCGTTGTTCGAACGTGTTGGTGGACTTGGACATGAAAAGCCGCTTGAGTGTTCGGAAAAGCAGAAGACGCTATTTAAGTTCAGTCCATTTACCGTTTGTCAACTTCAACAGATGGACAGGAGGTCTAGAGGATTTAACAGACAACCCCGGTAGATGATCCCCTCTTTGAATGCTGAGCTTAGGACACCCCAACTTTTGGTCAAACTGCTTATGAACAAATCTCTGAAGTAAATTTACAAGTTGAAACCTTTTTTTGATGTTAGGAGGCTCCATGGATCATGGATAAAAAAATTAAAAAAAGTCCTGGTGGTGCATGGTGGGGGGAAAGAAGCAAATATTAAGCATCAGTCAGCTACTTCTATGACAAACGACCAACTCCATGAGTGGAAGAAGCTTTTTTGGGACACGGTGCTGGAGGTGGCTCTTGTGGTGAAATTCAGATTTTTCAACTGATTTAGAGGTCATAAATTATCCGCCATTTGCAACTTTTCTGCTACATTCATAAAGTCTATTTTCTCTGCTCACTTTAAAGACCTTTCGTCTATATTTGCTTAAACGTGAAGACTGAGAGAAAATGGTCTTAAGCCAACTAGGACGAGGAATCCTTGAACCCATCTGAGGACAAGTCATCAACAACAGTGTTAAAGCTCAACTCTTACAAGAGTGTGTGACATTAAAGCTGCAGAAAACCTGCAGAAATAAACTTGTATTCGGTTATTTTTTTTTATGCAAGATATTACTTTGAATGCCAAAAATGACCTTTTAATGTCAAGTGATAAAAAAAAAAGAATACATGATAAAGCCTGTGCTATCTACATCGCAAATAAGAACCATTGCCCAATATTTCTGACAATATAAATCTTTGTTAATTTTTTTTATTTTTTTTATTATATTTCAGTTTGCACATGACATGTACTGCCCGGTTATGGCCTTCTGTGTCCTCGTGTGGCCCGTGTGTATCTTACGTTATATGACAAATAAGAAATACAGAAAATAAAGTAAGGCGAAATGTTCCAGCATGTTAGCAGGAACAGTGGACGAGCCCATTCCTCACAGACGTGGGGGGGGGGGTCGTATGTTATTCACATGCACACTGGCATGCGTTGTGTGTGTGCTGCAGGACTCGGGCTGCCCCACCCCCTTCTTCCTATAGAACATGTCCCTATAAAACCTTTACATCGCGTATGTCCTCACTACAGCGTCCCCAAAAAACCGGTTTGAACGCCAGAGCAGCAGCTGCAGGTAAGACTTCAACTTTTTACAACATTTAACAGAAAATTATTGAAATAAGATAAGAAGCCGGCGAGGAAACGAGGGTTCACACCTGGTTTGGTAACAGTTTTAACGCGTTTTTATTTTTTTTTAAATGACCAAAATGTGAACATTTGTCTCTGTGTGTTGGCCCAGCTTGTTTGGAAGCTCATTTAAATGCTCAAAATGTTAGTTTTGGCAAAGAAAAGCTGGCAAAAGTTACAAATTAAGTGTTTCTTATCGCATATTTATTTGGTTCATGTAGAAGCAATAAGTGTTGGCTGGTGTGTCTTTTGAACCAACAAAAAAAAAAGAAATGTAAAGAGGGAAATGGACAGAAAATAAAAAGGCGACGTGTAAAATAAATTTAAAAAAAAAAAAAGAGAGAGGGGAAAAAAAAATACAATTCAATGAAGCCTATCTTGTAAAAGAAAATGCATCTGACTGCTAATATAGATGGAAAATTTAGTGTGAATTAACTTTTTGAACAAGTTGTCCTGGAAGAAAATATGGTGAGGCTGCATTCAAGGAACAATTGTTTAGTCGTTTTTTTTTTTAATTGCACATGGCTGTGAATTTGTTACCAAAAATATGTTCGTTTGTAGCCTCTTTATGGTTCATGACTTAAATATTTCCACTGCTAGCATCAACTTCAGGATGGAGAAAATCTCCAGTTCAGTTGTTGAGTTTTCGTTGCAGAATGTAATTAAAGTGTTGCATTGAGTTGTCTTTACACACACGTTGCTTTACATTCAGTTCGTTAAGACAGTCACAGTGAGTCGTTATCTCGCATTTCTGTAGGGTCCATGTGTGTCTGCTTGGCTTCTGTACATTTTGTACCCAACCAGTACAGCCTGGAGAACAGCCTGCGCTCTCCATTTAAAGGTGTTTTTATGGAGGTGCAGCTACTCTGAGCATGTGTGGGAGAAATGAAGGCTCTTACTTGATGCAGGTTACATATTTTGTTTTTAATGTTGAAGCCGGCTTGACTTGAATTTACATGACAACATAACTTTTTTTTTTTTTTTTTTAAATAGACAAAGAACATCAACCTTCCTGCTTCTTTGTTTGCACCTGTTTGGCTCAGCTGTCTCTACATATTAAAGGCTTGATGGAAAATGTTTTGGGTCACTCTTGGTTTCTTGATTAGATTTGCACTTGTGAGTCAGATTAGCAGGTGGCTCCTAACAGCAGGGGGCGGGGGGCAGTTTAGCTCATTGCTAATTTACAAGCTTGAGCTCTGTCTTTTTTTTTTTTTTTTCCTCCAAAGCTTCTTCTATGAATCTGTTGACCAAACAAATAAAACTTTGTCTTTTGTTTGTGTCAGCCATGTTGGCCTCTTCACAGCTGGGGGCCCAAAATGGAGGTCATGTACACCTTGGGTAAATCAGTGTGGAGGGGGGGAGCTGTTGATTGTATGACCCTTTGATAGTGACCCCCCCCCCCCCCCTGAGTAACTTGAAGAAAATCAGTTTGTTCCCCCTTATTAGCCTCCTAATGCTTTATTGTAGTTATTTCTTTATGACAGAAACATACACAAACTTGTGACCCAAAGCTGCCCTTTTACCGTCGCTGCGCACTATTGAAAAATGTTAGCCCATAAATGACACGGGGGTACCGAAAAGTTTTGCGGTCATGTTGGAGGCCCCGTGTACAGAGGCCATAATCCTCGCAGCAGCGGCCGTGGGTTCAAATCCGACCTCAGCCCTTTGCTGCATGTCACCCCCGCTGCTCTCTCGCCTCCAAACATCCCCTCTGTCTCTCTTCAGCAGTCCTATCTAACAAATCAGCGACTCTATAAATCAACCAGAAGACGGTTTATTTTTTATTTTTTTTAAAGTAATTTTACAAAAAGTAAAGGAGATGTTGGTTGGGGATTCTGTGACTTACAATGGATGTCTTTCACCGTTTCTGACATTTTATACTCTTAAAAACTAACCATGAGAAAAGCTGATTTAGAAAATAAGTTGAGTTTTATTTTTTGGGGGGTGATTTTTAGTTTGTGGCTGTTAATGTAAACATTAAATCACTTCTGTCATGATGGGTTTTGCATTTTTCAAATGAATTAAACTCCACAGATGTAAATCGGCTTCTGTTCAGCAGTTTCTTGTAACATCACACGATTAAAGCTTGAGCACGCACAGCTGAGTGAAACCATGGCAACAACTGTGTACATGCCATCGCCATGATTCTGCACGCTGTTGCAGAGAGAGTGCATCTGTCAAACTGCAGGTCAGGCTGTTGTCGATGGTGTAATCCTGAGGATGTTTTGAGACTGTATTGATCGCTCTGCTGATGAATCTTTCTGTCTCTCTCGCACGCATCGTGTCCCCCCGCTCGCTTTGCAGGAAGTCCCCGGCTGCAGGCGTCTGGGCTGCGGTGTGGAGTTAAATGTGACATGAGAGGGCGGGACTTAGGAGGAGGAAAAGAGTGCTGATGTTATTTCATTGGCTGTTTGGTGCTAAGAACACAATGTACCCAGTTAAATGTTTTGGTGCACATATAACAGTGAGGCTGACTGATCTTATTGAGAAAGATGCGTAACTTAACCTTTTTGTGTATTATCATGTACTCTCCTGATGTTGAGGCATTTTTCTACTGTTGATGCATAATCTTCCTGCCAACAAGATCAGTTTTGCTTGGCTGTAAATATAGAATTTCTTTTGGTTGCAAAATGTAATTAATTCAGCATACAGTCCGTCCCAAAATGCCCCTCACTGAATCTATGTGCAGCTGGTGTTTTGAAATATGGCCTCAGGTGACACACAGATGTGAAAACGCCCTTTCCTTTCATGTTGATCCTCCAAACCTGAATAGAGATTCGCCTGAATTTCTGCCTTAAGCCAGTTGGTAATCAGCTGATCTCTAGGCTTTTTGTTGCGCTCAAGACTGGTGACTCATGACTGTTGTCCCCTGTACACATGAAGACTAGGATTATTTTTGGTGTTGTGCAAAACGCTGAGACAAGTGAGTCGTCTTAATGTGCGGGAAATGAGGTCGGATTTGAACCTGGACCGCATCGTGCCTGCTTGGCCACCCGTGCCCCCATCAAACATCTTTTTTAAAGACATGATCCAGCTGTTTTCAGCTGCCTTTATACAGACAAGAGAGCTGTTTCCATTGCATGGTTTAAAGCAGCTGTAGTATCTACACAGTCAACTCTCTGAGTAAGAACTATGATAGGAGGACAGATGTTGCCATTAAATAAAAAAAAAAAAAAAAAAAGTGTCTACTGTTGCAAAATGTTCTCTTCTTTTTATTGTTGGTCAAACATTTGTTTAAACTAACCTAACCTGTTTTGATTTCGTTAAGGTCAAGAGTTATGCTGTCATTTGCATAATTGTCGGCATGGATTAGTTCATCAACAGGCGGATTCTTTGTAGCTATTTGCCCGGAGTTCAAAGGCTCCCCTCACCTCCACCTCTGCCTGCGGAAGAGGAATAAAAGAGGAACTAAATTTCAGAATTCTCCGGTTACATAGTTTTTTGTCTGCTCTAGTTTGAGATGTAGTTGACACATCATGCTGGTTACGTAACACCACTCTGACATGCAGCGTTAATAACATGCAGCTCTCAGAATGTGCTCGTTGTTTAGTTTGTATTATTCCTGGTATTTACCTTTTGAGTGTACAAAGTAAATCGTCTCCGAAAGCTCTCAAAGGGTTTTTCTGGTTTTAGGAGGAGGCGGGACAGAGTGTGTTTTGGAGAAAGCGCCCTCCTGAGAGTAATGCATTTGGACAGCAGTGTGTGCGTAATATGTTCAGAGTGGGCGTGTGTTGAAGGCGAGCCCGTCGATCTGGTTGGGTGACAGTGGGGTTGTATAAAAAGGCGGAGCACAACACTGAAGTGCTCTCAGTAGTTCAAGTTCCTCCCTCTGTTTGGCATCTGTTGGGTTTTTCAGCGTGGCTGGAGAGTTCAGGGTCCCACTGGTCAGTTTTTGGGGACTTTTCTTTCACCATCAGAGACCTCTGGAAGGTGAGGAATCACGGGGTGTTGTTTTAAGCGAGTCAGGCCGACTTTTCACAGCAGGGGCTGCTTTGAAAGCTTGGATTCCATTTCTTTTTTTTCTCTGAGGGGTGTGACTCCAAACAGGTTGGCATTTTAATGCTTCAAATAGTTTTACCTGCTTATAAAAAAAAAACCTCCTTCCCACCTTCTCCTGAGCTTTGATGACTTCAGCAGTGGTCAGTCTTGGTGGACAGTGACTACCCTCGCTGTTTCTTCTGAAGCTAAGACCTTTCATGTCTTTGCATTTAAATGCACAAACGCTTCTTCTGGGGTGACTCCCCCCCCCCTTTTCTGAGACTGCAAAATCCCAGTTGGGAACTTGTTTTTTTTTTTTTTAAGTTTAACTCCCAAAAGGACGGACATCCGTGCCTCCAAATGCTCATCTTTTGGCGTTCTTTATCAAATTGAAGTCCCAACAGTGATTAAAACACTACTTTCTTTATAAGTGACACATGCGATTGACCATGTGGGAATCAATGAAATTGTTCAGTTCTTTGCTGCGTCAGTTTATGGCATAGCATGAATAGAAGCTCTGTTTGTGCACGCTGAAAAATAATAAGACTAATATGTAATCAAGACTATTTAAAAGGTTTACAGGCATTCAAGGCCTCCAGATGTTTGACATTATTACTTATATGTTGGGCTTTGTGGTTCATTTTTATTTTATTTTTTTTCTTTTTTGCTCGGTGCAATAAGCGTTCCCTGTGATGGCTGCAGGCAAGAGATGTTCCTCCCTCATGCAACGATCAGATGGTTCACGTTTGTGCAAAGCCAACTGATGCGATCGCTTCCTCTGTTGGAAGCAATACTTTCCAAAAACTCATTAAAGTTGGACGCACGGTAGACTGAATCTGTCCCTTCAATAACATTTGACTTCAGCGTAGATTTTCGCTCTTAAGACAGAACAGGAAATACGACATTGGCTTTAACATTTTCTGCGACGTGACTTGCCGACACTGCTCGTCGATATTTTGACATTACGACGTATTTTTGTGTTTCTAACTTTATCCTTGTTTGTTTTTTTTGTTTTTTTTGCAGGCTTGTCGAGAACCTTTAAACTGAATTCTCCATTATTTGTTTTCCCCGCAGGTCTTTAGAGCCGCCCCAGCTCTTTCCTCCGTCACAACCCACCTCAAACCACATCAGCAGACATGATCATCAGACTGGGCAGACTGACACCTGGATACTTCCGCCTCCTGCAGGTAATAAAAGAATTAAACTCCAAATCGCCATACTTCTGATTGACTTTAGAAATAGACTGATTGATGAGATATACTCTACGTACACGGGAAGATGCTCCACAGGTCTCGTTTTGATTTAATCTCATCAATATTTTTGTATTTATTCTTTGCTGATAGAGGTTTTTACACTAGTCCTAATCCGAACCTCTTTCAGACGAGGGCCTCCGTGCTGCTTTCATCACCTACATAATTAGGGGTGACACTAATCATTGTGAAATAATTTCCTTTTGTCCCCCCCGCTGTCATCATAACCCACCCCATCAGCAGTGACCCTCCATATGTCTCGACTGCTGTGTTGTACAGAGTCTTTGTTTCCAAATTAGTGTAAATATACGAACAAAGACTGTCCCGTCATCTGGCTTTACGCTGACTGAAAAGCTCAGCAGACCAGAGAGAAGGGATTGCCTGTTACATAAGAATCGACGAATGGGCGCTCAAGTGAAATTTTCTTTTGTAAATTAGACTTTATCAAAGCAATTCTTTTCCCAAGGTAGTTTTGATCATTCCAAATGAGGACAGTGAGCTCTTGGCTCTGAAAAGGAAACAACTTTAACACGCATTTCGGGAATGTGGGGAGCTGTTTTAGAGTCCTGGCCTGTTCAAAAGTGCACATTCCTGTCGCACAGCTCCATGCGATCCAGGGGTCACAGGGTGCACAAGGAGCTGTGCATTTAGAACAGTAGTCGTACTTGGTGTAGGTGATATTATTATTCTTTATGGCACTAGTTATTTGTTTCCTTGTGCACCTTATGGGCTTGGTTCTATAAACTATGTGTTCCCCTTTTCCTGAACGCCCCTCTCCCTCGTAAATGTCGTAAAGGTGTGGTCACATAGCTGACGGCTGCTGTTGCTAATGGGGAATTGTGCTTTAAAGAGGAGGCCTCTTGGGTTGGGCAAAATATTTGAGTGTTTGTTTCTTGACTCATTGGCCGATCAGCCTTCAGCATCTGTGTTGATTCATTCTGAAGGGCTCACTGTTTCGACTGTTTGGCCACCTCTGATCCTTGTCCTGTTTGTGTTTATTTTGTCTCTGCAGAGGCAAGTTGCCGGCGAGGTGCAGACGCAGCCACAGGACCGCGCCGTCAACCAGATCGCCATGATGCTGGCCATCATGGGCCTGAGCTTGTCCTACTACAGTGCCAAACAGATGACGGAGAAGGTCCAGACCCAGCCTGCACCCTGAACGGACTTGACCGCTCTAATCAATTAGAAAATGGATGAGCCGATGAGCAGTGAAGGAGGTGGAGCCAGGACCACACTTTTCTCACCTCACAGTCATAGTCACAGTCAGACATTGAATTTCTGGGATCCCTCACTCAACATGCACAGAGACTTCAGGGCTGCTGCAAAGGGGGTTTCTCTACTTCCTGTTGTCAGGACCTGAAGGGGTTTGTGGGGCGCTCACTTGGGGCTGTGGAGAGGACTGGTTAAAGGACTGGGGGGGAAATAAAATCCAGCTGTTTGACCATTAGTTGTTACAAAGGTACATTCTTACAAGATGTTGCCAATGCTGTTCTGAGCTTAAAAAGGGGGAAAATCTAAAAAACTGTGAATTTAGCAAGTGTTCAAATCCTGTCGCTAAAGGGTTAAAAAATCAGAACAGTGATGGATAAAGAAAGGCTGACTGCTACTGAGATGTACCTTTTAACAAAGTGATGGCAGGCACAAGACATGCTTGAAGGAGGTTAAAAAAAATTCACTCAACCGTTCTAGGGTTTTTTTTGTCTTTTTGTTTCCACCATGAGAACCTTGCAGAGAGCTGTTTTCACAAACTGTCCATAAATATTTGTGTGAAATGTTTCTGTCAGAGTCTCAGAGAATATTTGCACAAAAGTGCAGCCATGTTTTAAATGCTACAATAGATCTGCAAAGGGATTTAAAACTACTCACTACCTTTTTTTTTCCTGTGATTTTGCTGTTTTTAACAACTTTATGAACTCCTGTTGAGAAGAATTGTGACTAACTTGATAAGAACTCTTCCTGCAGCATCTACATTTAAACGTGTAACTGTAACAGAGTAGTGCATGGGTGTGCAGACTTTTAATCAAAGAAAACAAAATCAAGAGTCTGTCTTGTTTTTATTGATGAAATGAATGTATATCTTTATTTTGTAATGATTTAATAAAGCTGTGAATATTTTGAACGAGCATAACGGTGGATGTCGAGTAATGTTTAGTTAGGAACAGTTCCTTAGTTGGCACAGGAGGCTGCAGGGATTCGGTATTTCCTGAATCTGTATAGTCATGCACGCAAAGGGAAGTGGTCAGGCTGATGCACATCTTGTTTCTCTTATGTAAGTGAGGATGCTGCTAGCACGCGTACTAACACGTAAGCCCAATAGTGAACTTGCAAAAATGTGGTGCTGTAGTCTCTTACACATGCCTTGTGTAAGAGTCTGCTAGAAAGCTGATGAAATGCAATGCCTTTTTCTGATGGCAATAGGTATGTGATGGGTGCAGATAATGATGAAAAAGAGAACACTTTCCTTGTCTTTTAGTTTAAAGTAACTCCTGAAAAGGAAGGTTTGAGTGAGGTCTGAGGTTAAAGAAGAAAAACATAAAAATACAAAAGGACAAATTCTTAGTATAAAAGACTTCGAAGCAAGTAATGAGTTGAAGCGAAAAGGGAACCTCAGAGGATATGAAGGCTACACTTGTTCGCTAGCTTGTAAACATGCATGTATTTCAAGTGCGATGAGGCAACCCCATTCTTAAAATGGAAGCCATTGTCCTCGACTTAGAAAAATATGGCGCATTATTTGTGTTTCATAGCTTTTGGTGTCGTGAGTTTCACGGAGAACATCAGTAAGTTCAGATTCCTTCAGCTGGACAAATCCGTTTCCTGATAAATCTGCCTCTGATCCTCCTCTTCCCTTTCCACAAGGTTTTGTGCAGATTGCTGTCTGCTTTTCTGCACGTTCTCAGTTTCTCTTGCAGGGCGGGGAGGTTCGAAAGTGCGCATGCCTGCTCAACGTGTGATGTGATGCCCTGTGACAGGCTGAGACCTCGTTGGGTGCCACGTGCCCCCCATCTGCCCACGCCATAAGCTCCACCCCATCGCCCTCCTAGTCCCATCCCCCTTTGCACATCACTGGGCGAACAAAATCTTTCAGTTTGTCGTCCCAGTGTTGCAAGGCTAGGGACAGCCTTTAACGAAGGGCGCCCATTGGCCAAGCGGTGATGCGTCACCAAATTCGACCTCGTTGTGAGCCACGGAGACAAAAGGATGGCGATAAGTCATGTGCAGGAGATGTGGGTGGGGAGGGTCAATGGAGGATATGTTTTCTTTGTTTTAACAGTCAATAATTTCTCACAAAGGAAATTTAGACTCCAGAGGCAGAGAGATTGCCTTAACAGTAAAGACCAAGAGAGAGTAAAACACCTGGTGGCTTTTTGAGGATGTTTGTGAAAGCTTTAATGAAGCTTTTGTACGAAACAATTAGTCGGGAATGGATGGTATTTGGAGCTTCAGGGATGAACACAAGAAAGAAAAAAAGAAGGTGTGCTGGATCTCAGAGGACTGTCACATCTTATTTTGAAATCACTGAATTCAAAAGTGCAATTATTAGAAATATGCTCGGCTAGTTAGAGCATGATGAGCAGCGGGAGAGTTTGTGTGTTGTGGGTTCATTAAGAGCTTATCTTGACGTTCTGTATTATAGAAGAAATATTGATTTTGAAGCATACTGGCACCTTCCTTTTCTTGTACAGCTGATGAAAAAGCTTATTTTTTTTCAAGAAGTAATGTATAAACTCTGTTTCATGGGGCTAAAGTATTTAATCGTCACAATCCTTCGCCCCTGTGAACTCATTTTTCATGTTTTGCTGCTGCTTAGTGTTCAATAAAGATGAGTTAAATTATAATATTTGCTGTGGTTGTTCTTATTGTATTGTTGTTAGTGAAGTACTGAAAGGAGACAGATAACTTAAGGTCACCATTTTACCATATCTTGATTAAAATAAGTATTTTAGTCCTATGTTGGTTGGATTCAAAACAAATCAATGTAGCAGCAACCTATTAGATGTATCAACAAAGGAGACAAGTTTTACCACCCAAAACACAAATGAAAGAAGTTAAGGTCATTAGAAGAAAGACAATGAATGTTTTAAGCAGACACTATTCATTGCTTGTTCATGCTAGCTAACCCACCCTTATTACAGAGCACTACAGCAGTTTTGTTGTGAGCTGGTTAGCTCGTTCTGCTAGCTGTACCTCCAGATCTGTAACTCAAAAGGCTGTTTTGTGGTTGTGTTCCTAGTCTGCGTTTTTTTTAATGTTTTGCATTTTCACATATAGACTTGAGCTCTAGGCTATAAGCAACACCAACTGTTTCCTTTCCCATTTAGTTGTGCTGACATTGATGGCTGCAAGCTTACAAACAGTAGGCTATGAAGAAAAAATGCTAACAGGAGTAAAGATTACTTTGTCCTTTTTTTAACCTGCCAGAAATTAACTGTGTCTTTTGTCTTTCCCACACAGTATCACACTTAATACTTTGTGGGAAAACCCGTCATAGACATTGGCAATATGATACGTAATCTGCAAACATTGACATCAGAAGGAGAATAAAGAAGCTTTGTTGCTTGCACAAAATAATGCAAAAAGGTCTTCAACTCCTCCAACTCGCTTGCAGTGATTTTTTTCTGAATATTACATGAGCTGTTTACAGATTTTGCTCACCTCGACTTCTATTCTTCGAAAATTTTACCAGGAGGCTGGCTGTAAAAAAATGGTGATGAGTTTTCAATCACTATGCAGCCCATCCCCAAAAGTTTGGGAGATTTTCAGGGGTTTTGTGCATGTGTGAAAAGAGCTATTGTGTCAGATAGAAAAATTCAATTTGGGTGTATATGGCATGTCTTGGTGGAGTTTGATCAGAGCTTTATATTGTAGTTAGCTAACATGGAACATACAAACAGTACATTGCAACAAAAATAATAAAAGCAAAACCTCTAATGTGCTCAGAAATCCTCAAGAAATGTATTAACCACAAAATAATACAAGTAAAAGTTGATCACGTTTTAATCTAATGTGCCCAATCCACATCTTGAGGGGAGTCATGCTGAGGAGGCGGTGTCGTGCATGTGTCTGACCTGAGCATGCGCTGAATTGGGGTTTGTTCTGGGCTGTCCTTTACTCAGGGAGCCTCTGTGGGTACTGGCATACAAACAATATGTCACAAAGATCTCAGAAACCCCCTCCCTGATGCACAATCAAGAGCTATTATGCTGTCATATCTAGTCTTTAGAATTAGACTTTCACCTGTCACACAGCCCTTCAAAGAGCTATAAGTTTTTAGTCAGTAATTGTGGCTTCTTTCTTGTTGCTTTTTCATGTCACTTTGATGGCCAATAGTTGCTAGAACAATGCTAGAAAATTAAGCATATGTTTGTTTTAAAAGATTACATAGTTAGGTTGTATTATATGAGTTTGTTTCAGATGTTAGTGCTCTCATATCTCAGCCCTTTCGCCCGCCAGGTGGTTGATGTGGGACGCCATGTTCTGTCTCTTAATCTCACTCTGATTTTTTTTTCTCCCCATGGCTTCGTTTTCATTAGGATTTACTGAAAGCAGCTTATCTCTGAAAGGCTGTTTGTGTCTGTATTGATGGACTCAAAGGTTTTCCCCCACAGAGTTGTGATGCTTTATGAATGTTGCTGATTAACGTCATCCATTTACTGCATAAAAAAATGAAGTCTGCAAAATATCCCCAAAATATATTGTTTTATTTGGATTTTACTGTTTGATAACTTTTCTTGGCTAGCTTATTAAATAGTCTGCATCTAAGATCCTGGCCATGTGGCTTTCAAATGACAAACATGTAAAGGAGATAGTATCCTGTGTAATTTAATGAAAAATATAGCCTATATTTAAAGATGACATGAAACAGCAATATGATACTTACCAACCATTTATGTATCAAAATTATTATTTGTGAAACAGGCACATGATCTAAGGAGGTAATTTGATATTAACGATGAAATTGTGAAGAGTATGCTTTTGCTAGCTAAACTTGAGTCTAAGCACCGTTCTAAATTAAAGATTAATTGATTGGTTGGTTAAAACTTTAAGCAAATAATTTTTCCAGAAAGAAAACACAAGTTTATTCTGACATGCATTTCAAGTTCTGTAGCCACACCAGAGCATAAATGCTAATCAGCAAACGTTAACAACAAGCTAAACGAAGATGATGAACATACAGTAGGAAACAGTAGTAGCATTGTTATTGTGACCATGCTAGCTGTAACATTTAGCAGTTCAAGTTCTTCTGCAAAAATAGATTAAATGGTCGAAGGCAAATGTTAGTCACAAGCTTAAATAAGTTATAAACATAGGATGTGGTCAAAATCGTGTACTTTCATTCATATGCAGGATGACCTCACATTGAGTATGTGCTGCTTTCACAACTGATGGTATCAGAGCTGCTAAGTATGCTAGTTGTGTATGCAAGAAGAATCGGTTGTAAACTAGATTGGTCATATCTGTGTGATACAGGAACTAGGTCATACTCAACTGCCCCACAATGCATTGCGGCTGTAAATAGTGGTATAGGCCTACATTGAAAGTACCCATGTAATATGTTTTATTTTTGATCAAATATTATTCAAATAAGTAAACTGATTAATGAACATATGTAATTTGTAGTTAATTCTATATACAGCCCGAAAGCGTGCCAGCCTGAAACTTACTCAACTTTGCTTGGACCGGAAGTAAGCTACATGATTAATGAAGTAATTTGACGCAGGGAGGATGTACATATGTTGCTAACAGCTGGGTAAGTCAGGTAAGTGTTCAGTATTGGGTCAGTATGTAGTAGGCAGTAAATTTGTATGTGGCTTTGGATACAGTCATAGTAAACTTTGGTAGCATTGTCAACGTAAGCATGCTAGCCTTAGCATTTAGCTTGACGCACAAGCTTGATTAAACTTTATTCACCCAGTGTCGCAATCTTGCTCTGTCATACAACCTAATAGCTCCATCTGTTCATCTGTCACTGCCGTGCAAAAGGAAACACAACGATGGACTCATTTGCAGAACTTGTTGCAAAACTCCAATGGAAATCACTAGAGGAGGAAGTGCTGACTTGTTCAACCACAATTTGGCAGTGTTAAGCAATTTGGTGCCTGCACTGTCATGAAATGGTATAATGTA